CTGGACTATGGCAATAGAATCTTCTAAGATTCTTCTCACCAATATCTGTCATATTTTCAGTTACTCCAGGACTTTGGAAGAGCAATTTTGCTTACAGTGATTACAATAGAGACTTCCTTTGTAAGAAGATCCAATACAATAAAGGTGAAATCTTGGTGGTGGAGAAAGGAAGATTATATAACTTCTGTTTGAATATGTAAGGAAAATGTCTTCCCATAAACAGAATTTTAGTTGGGCCTTGCAGAAGGAGTGGATTTTGACAATAAGGAGACGGTATTCTAGGGACTTCCCTGGCAGTCCAGTGGTTAGGACTCAGCGTTTTCACTGGTGTGGTCCTCAGGTCCTCAACCACTTGGTTGAGGAACTGAGATCTGCAAGCTACATGGTACCACCAAGAAAAAAAAGTCCAGGTTTTTTGGACTTCCTGCTGGTCCAGTGGCTAAGACGCTGTGCAGGGTGCTGGGGTTTGATCCCTGGTCAGGGACCCAGACCCCACATGCGATAACTCAGAGTCTGCACTCTGCAACTAAAAGTTCCCCAAGCCGCAGCTTAAGATCCCACATGCCACAGCAAGGATCCAAGATCCCGCACGCCACAGTGAGACCCAGCACGGCAAATAAATGAATAAATATTTGAAAATATATTTTAAAAAGAAAAGGAGATGGCATTCCAGAAGAAGCAAACGGAATGGCACAGGCAGGCTGGGGTGGGCAAGTGTGCGGTGAAGATCCGGTTTTCCCACCGCAGAGGTTACAAGATGGGAGGACCGGAAGTAGGCTAGGATCACTACGCGGAGACCTTAACTTCTTAGACAAAGAGGTGCAAGAAGGGGTTTGAGAGAGCAGGTGACATGATGTGAAGTGCGCTTAAGAAAGAGAACACTAGTGATGAGACAAGAGAGGAGAGCGATGGTCCAGAGAGAAGCAAAAGGGGTTCATAATTACAAACCTTAGAAGGAATGAGGGGCTGAACTAGGATGGGGACAATGGTAAGAAAGACACGGCAGTCTGCGGGGCCACTTGGCAACACTGCTCAGAGGGTGCTGACGTTCGCACAGAACACAGAGTGAAGGATGATCTCGGGAATTACGCTTGGTGATCGTTTAAGAAAAAACAGACATGCTATTACGTCATGTGAGATTAGATGAGAGAGAAAGCAGGAAGCTTAGTTTGGAGGTTAATGCAGCCACCAGGTGAGAGATGATGGTACCTCGAAAGTGGAGGCAGTGGACATTACACCCTACATGGGCTGTTCAGTTTTGGTCTTGATCCCAGAGCACTGTTTGCCCAAGTTACAGGTTGAATTGTATGTTCTTCAAGCTGATATGTTGCGATTCTAACCTCTAGTACCTCAGAATGTTAATGTATATGGATATAGGACCTTTAAAGAGGTACTTAAGGTAACATGAGGTCATATGGCTGACCCCCAAATTCACTATGATCAGTATTATTTTAAGAGGAGGTGATCAGGACATAGATATGCACAGAGGAAAAACTATAAGAGGACCCAGGGAGAAGATGACCATCCACAAGTCAAGGAGTAAGGCCCTAAGAAAGAACCAGCACTGCTAACACACTGACCTTAGACTTTCGGTCTGCAGAGCTGTGAGGAAATAAATTTCTGTTTTTTCAGCCACCCAGTTTATGGTTCTTTCTTACTGCTGTCCAAGCAAATTAATACAGTCCTCTGCAGTTTACCAAAATTTTCAGTGATCAAAGGTACCCAAATTCTTAGGCAAGATAAAAATGAATACAATTTTGTTGTCACAGGCCTCATGATATTTGGAAAGGACACTGGCTTTTGCAATATACAGACAAAGTCTGAATCTTAAATCTGCAAATAGATAGATGAGCCTAAATAACTTATTTAAATGTCTCTGAGCTTCAGTTTTCAAAATCACATCTGATACGGTAGGATGACCACCAGCCCAATACCCGGCACAAAATACATGCTCAACGAAGGTTAGTTCCTTAGTTTTTCTATTCCAAAGAGGCAGCCACAAAACTGGCCTAAAAAAATGACTCTAAAGTTAGATTAAGTTTAAATTTCATTTGAATTCATCAAACCTGGCTGCATCACTCATTTCAGCATTTGGGCATGTTGGTTAGACTTTCTAAGCCTTTGTTTCCTTATCTAGAAAATTCTCATAAAGTGGTTACAAGGGTTAAATGTGATCTTGCATATGAAATGCTTAGAACAATGTCTGGTACATAAAAAAGTATCAACAAGTATATCTATTATTAATCATACACATATTTTTGTAAGTTCTTTTTGCTCATTCTATTTGCCATCACTGTCTATGGCCAACTCTTAGCAGAAACTCTCCCTGTGTTGTTGTTTCTATTCTCAACTCTCCGGCTAATACCTGCAGCTCTCAATTTATAACTCCAGGTAGATACCTGGAATATGTTCATTCAACTACTGCCAAACATTCTTCCAAAAAATGGAAAACTAAAGCTGCTCATTAGATAGGGTAGTACACTGAGTGTAATGTTGTTAAAAAGTAATAACATTTTAATGTTTCTTAAAAACATGATCACTCCCCTTATTACTTAGGTAGGTACCTCAAAAAGCAAATTAGAACAGACATAACTTCTGTCAACAGGGAACTTAATAGCTAACTCATCTAGATTGGATTCACCCAGTGTTTTCATAATCACTCATGGTCCAATTCTCTTGTCCTCATTTTGCAGCTAATGAAATCCCAGGATAGTACCGAAGTGTTGGCTTTTTTCACTCTGTTGCACTAATGTCTGCTCTTTTCCCCACACTCTAATTCTTTAATCATACCTTTGGGATACTACAGTGGAGTAAACCATTTGGGATTACCTAACATAAAAATTGCAAAGTCTCCTCTGAAGCATATGGAGGCTGTACATGTGGTTTATTTACTCCCTATCCCTCAGGATATCTGTGATTCTTCCCAGGTCTGCAGGGGGCACTTCTGGCTGAGAAAAGTCCCTGATATGGGAGTCCTTTCTACTCTTAATGTTGCACTAAAAAGGCGTCAGTTTTAGAAACAATCCTAGGATTCAAGACTATGTTGGGTCATGAACTTGCAGCATTGTAGGCCACCTATGGAGAAAAGGAAATGACTGTGGTCATGCTTTAAGTTTAATAAGAACTCATTCTTGTTGATACCATCATGATATTGGTCCTGCTTCCAAGAAGGGCCATGTATGGGCATAGTCTCTTTTCCTAGCAATAGACTCCCCCATCTCTCTGTTTGACATGAGTTGAGTCTACGGTCTAATTTACATTCACAGCTCTTTAGCCTCCTGGCCTCAGTGATTAGCCTAAAGAGGTGAAATGTTACTTGAGGTTCTTTTTGGTTGTATTTTTTTTTAACTCAAGCTAACATAGCAAATCTCTTCATTCTCTGCAATAATGTAAGCCAAGAGTAGTCAGCAACCATGGTTTTAGACTCATGAAATAAATTAAAAGAAAAACAATGCCCCACTGAAAAAAAGAGAAATTAAGAGGTGAAGGGAGAAGATCTGTCAATACGGGCCCTACTTTTATGTCAGTTTCCTCTACTGTGTTCCTGGCTTTCATAATTATGCAAATAAATAAATAAATTCCCTTTATTGGTTAAGCTAACTTGAATTCAATTTCTCTCCATTTACAATGACAGTTTCCTGACTGGTGTTCCAGTCAAAGTCAGAAACAAGAATAAGATAAAGGAATGAATGATTTCATAGAGGTGTTAGAACTTAAGCCACAGAGAAAGGGCAGTAGAGAAAGTAAAGAGTCAGTTTCAGAGAATTCCGCATATGAAACAGAAGCCTTATATGAAGTTGAGGGGGGGGGGATAACAGACATGAATGATATTTGTAGTTGTCATCAGGCTTTTCTGAATCACAGAGTCTATGTGAGTTAACAATGGCAGAAAGCCCTAAAATGCAGAGGGGTATCAAAGCCAGATAGAGAGCTTCAACCTAATGTAGTGGATGACAAAACCATTTATACATCAAGCAGGAAAGTTCCAGAATAAACACTGTATTAATTTTGGGGGGAAGATGTTTGTAGCAATGATTGGAGGAAAGAACAGTGAGAGATCACATGAGAAGTTACTGAAGGAATTAACCATAAGATGACAAGAACCTGAAACAGGACACAGGCCACAGAAATGGGGAAGAATGAGGCACCTGTAAGAAGAAAATGGTGTTTGGCATTATAAAGAGTGGTGGAAAACAGAAAAGACTTCAGAGTACACAGGTAACATGAGAAATAGGAGGTACAGAGAGTCTTTTTAAAATTTATTAATTTTTCAATTGGTGGAAAATTGCTTTACAACTCTGCGTTGGTTTCTGCCATACAACAATGCAAATCAGTCATCATTCCCTCCCTGGACTCCCTCTCCTCCCCCCATACCACCCCTCTATGGACTGAAAATTCTAGTATGTACATGGGGATGAAGGAAAGGAGGTAACCAACCTACATTAGGTAAATCAACACTATCAAGAAAGGTACTAGTGTATTAGGGAAGCTTTCATCCCTGTGATATTTTCATTCTTCAGAGTAATATAAAATGCTATTTACCAAAAAAAGACTTAACAGAGATTAAACCAAGGGCTAAAATTTTAAACTAAATGACTTCACCTGCATTCTGCTGGCAGGTCAAGATATAGGAATCAATGCACAAACACAGTGTGATAAGACAATTCAGTCATTCAAGAATTATAATTCAGTGAAATGATAGAAAGCAGGGATAATTTAAAATCTATACTGCGTGGTGTGGGAGTGACTGTGAGGAGATACCTTGCGTCCAAGAGCAAAGGAGAAGCCCCAGCAAGATGGTAAGAGGGGCAAGATCAGGTTTAGAACCAAACCCCATTCCCGCCAGAGATGCTCAGGGGTCTCAAACAAACCTTGCATGAGGTTTGTTTGCATCAGGACCCAGAGACCCCACAGAGACTGAGGCAGAACTGTGCCTGAGTGTCTCCTGTGGAGGTACGGGTCAGCAGTGGACTGGTGCAGCAGCCCTGGGTATGACATACCCTCTTGGAGGAGGTCGCCATTAACCCCACCATAGAGTGGCCCAAACTTACACAGGACTGGGAAATAGACCCTTGGAGGGCCCAAACAGAACCTTCTGTGCACCAGGACCCAGGAGAAAGGAGCAGTGCTCCCACAAGAGACTGAGCTAGACTTGCCTGAGAGTGTCCGGGAGACTCCAGTGGAGGCGTGGGTGGGCGGTGGGCTGCTGCGTGGTCAGGGGCACTGAATGTAGTAGTACATGCAAGGGACCTTTGGAAGGAAGTCACCATTATCTTCATTACCTCCACCAGAGTTTGGTCCCAGGTAAATAGCAGGGAGGGAACACAGCCCCACCCATCAACAGAAAATTCCATTAAAGATTTACTGAGCATGGCCCATCAGAAGAAGACCCAACTTCCGCCTCAGTCAGCCTCTCTCATCAGGAAACTTCCATAAGCCTCTTATCCTTCTCCATCAGAGGGCAGACAGACTGAAAACCACAATCACAGGAAACTAACCAATTTAATCACATGGACTACAGACTTGTCTAACTCAATGAAACTACAAGCCATACCATGAAGGGCCACCCAAGATGGACAGGTCATGGTGGAGAGTTCTGACAAAACGTGGTTCACTGGAGAAAGGAATGGCAAACCACTTCAGTATTCATATCTTGAGAACCCCAAGAACAGTATGAAAAGGCAAAAAGGTAGGACACTGAAAGATGAACTCCCCAGGTCAATAGATGCCCAATATGCTACTGGAGATCAGTGGAGAAATAACTCCAGGAAGAATGATGAGACAGAGCCAAAGCAAAAACAACACCCAGTGGTGGATCTGACTGGTGATGGAAGTAAAGTATGATGCTGTAACAACAATATTGCACAGGAACCTGGAAGGTAGGTCCATGAATCAAGGCAAATTGGAGGCGGTCAAAGAGGAGATGGCAATGGTGAACGTCGACATATTAGGATTCAGTGAACTAAAATGGACTGGAATGGGTGAATTTAACTCAGATGACCATTGTATCTACTACTGTGGGCAAGAATCCCTTAGGAGAAATGGAGTAGGCATCATAGTCAACAAAAGATTCTGAAATGCAGTACTTGGATGCAATCTCAAAAATGACAGAATGGTTTCTGATTGTTTCCAAGGCAAACCATTCAATATCACAGTAATCCAAGTCTATGACCCAACCAGTAATTCTGAAGAAGCTGAAGCTGAAGTTGAACGGTTCTATGAAGAACTACAAGACCTTCTAGAACTAACACCCAAAAAAGATGTCCTTTTCATTATAGGGGAGTGGAATGCAAAAGTATGTAGTCAGGAAACACCTGGAGTAACAGGCAAATTTGGCCTTGGAGTACAGATCCTCTACACAGAAAACCCTAAGGACGCCACCAGAAAATATCTAGAGCTAATCAATGAATGTAGTAAAGTTGCAGGATATAAAATTCATATGCAAAAATACATTTCATTCCTATACACTAACAATAAGAAAACAGAAAGAGAATTTAAGGAAACAATTCCATTCACCATTGCAATGAAAAGAATAAAATAATCAGGAATAAATCTACCTGAAGAAACACAAGACCTATATATAGAAAACCATAAAACAGTGAGGAAAAAAATAAAAAATGACACAAATGGATGGAGAAGTATACCATGTTCATGGGTCAGAAGAAACTATAGAGTGAAAATGCTTTTACTACCCAAAGCAATCTAGAGATTCAATGCAATTCCTATCAAGCTACCAATGGTATTTTTATGTAACTAGAACAAATCATTGCACAATTGGTATGGAAACACACACACACACAAAAAAAAACTTTAAATAGTGAAAGTAATTTCAAGAAAGAAGAATGGAAGTGAAGGAATCAACCTGCCTGTCTTCAGATGATAGCACAAAGCTACAGTCACCAAGACAGTGTGGCACCGGCACAATGACAGAAACGTAGATCAAAGGAAAAAAATAGAAAGCTCAGAGATAAATCCACACACCTATGGACACCTTATGTTTGANAAGGCAGTCTGAGCAGATTGAGACAGCACACTCCCTATGGGAAGATTGGAGCCTATCATAAAAGGTTCAAACACAGGTGTCCAAATTCTATTGGCCAGCATCCTTCCTAACTTCTTCCACTCTTTTTCCACTATTTCATGCTAGTGCTTAAAAATTCTGCTTTTTGTCTGAGGCAATTTGAAGTCACTCTCTCTCCCTTTCTGCAATAGCACTGGATAGAATTTTCTTCACCTATTTAACTCAGTCCAATGCATTTTTTTCTTTAACAAAGTTAATTACCCACTGGTAATCTGTGAGGCAAAGAACTGACTCATTGGAAAAGACCCTGATGCTGGGAAAGATTGACAGCAGGAGGAGAAGGGGACCACAGAGGATGAGATGGTTGGATGGCATCACCGACTCAATGGACATGAGTTTGAGAAAGCTCCAGGAGTTGGTGATGGACAGGGAGGCCTAGCATGCTGTGCTACAGGGCATGGGGTTGCAAAGAGTCAGACACGACTGAGCGACTGAACTGAACTGATACCTTTTCAAAATAAGAGTTCTAAATAGTAAACTATTGATAATCTAATGTAAAGCTGCAAGTCTTTTCTCCTTCAAAATCTCTATATTTTATAAAACCAGAAATCATAAAAGTCCTAGAAAAAAACATAAGCAGTATACTCTTGGACCTTAGTCTTAGCATTTTTTTAAAATGTCTCCTCACAAAAGGGAAATAAAAGAAAAAATAAACAAATGAGACCTCATCAAACTAAGGAGCTTGTGCCCAGTGAAGGAAACTATCAACAGAACAGAAAGGCTGCCTGTAGAATAGGAAGACTTATTTGCAAAAGAAACATCCTACAAAGAGTTGATATCTAAATTATACAAAGAACTCAACTCGCACAAGTCAACCTCAAAAAGTGAATGATCTGATTTAAAAAATGGGCAAAGGACCAGAACAGATGTTTTTCTAAGGAAGATATACAGATAGCCAACAGATACAAGGAAAGATGGTCAACATCACTCATCAACAGGGCAATGCAGATAAAACCACAATGGAATATCATCTCACACCTGTCAGGATGGCTGCTATCAAAAAGACAAGAAATAATAAGCACTTGGTAGTCCATGGAGACAAGGGTATGCTCATGTGCTATTGGTGGGATTATAAATTAGTACAGTCACTAGGGAAAACAGTATGGGGGTTCCTCAAAAAATTAAAAATAGAATAACCAAATGATCTAGCAATTCTTATTCTGGGTATTTATCTGAAGATAACAACCACAAAAAATAATTCAGAAAGATATATGTGCCTCTATGTTTGCTGCATCATTATTTACAATAGCCAAGACATGGAAGCATTCTAAGTGTCCATCTCTAGATGAATGGATAAAGAAGGCACAAGGCATATGCACGCACTCTTGCTGAAATACTACCCAGCCATAAAGAAGAACGAAAAATCGCCATTTGTGAGAACATGGACAGATCTAGAGGGTATTATGCTAAGTAAAATAAATCAGAGAAAGACAAAACCATATGATGTCACTTACATGTGGAATTTAAGAAGCAAAGTAAATGAACAAACAAAACAAAAGAGAAATAGATTCATAGATACAGAGAAAACCTAATGGTTGCCAGAGGGGAGGCAGTGGGATGTTGGGCGAAATAGGTGAAGGGGATTAAAAGGTAGAAACTTCTAGTTAAAAACTAAATAAGTCATGTGGATATAATGTATAGTATAGAGAATAGTCAGTAATATTGTACTAACTTTTTACGGTGACAGATGGTCAGTAGATGTATTGTGGTGATCAGTCTGTAATGTTGTCAACATATTATCCCCAGTGGTATTTTATATCAACTATACTTCAATTTAAATGAAATAAAAAACCTCTATATGTTAAATGAGGGAGCTTTTAGAATACATAAAATAATTTCATAGAGTAATTATATTCTGAGAATTAATGAAAGCAAAATAGACCATATAAAACGTTCTATGGTAATCAAATCTACCTTTATAGGGCAAGGCATGCAATTAGAGTGCTTTAAAGACATCCATTAAATGACAATAAACTGAAAGATGAAATGATCAAAAACTAAACCGTAAGTATTTATTGAGCATTGACACTGGAAGGCCCTGGGCACTGAGATGGGTCACAGAATGCTGAGGTAGGCCGTGACTTTGAGAAGCCTACATTACAGTTAAAAAAAAAAAGCTCACTTAAAAGTAGAAATAACAATTCAATACAATATATGATAAAAGGAGCAGGCTGGAGATTTGGATACTAATTCATAAAACTTGGAAGTTCAAGAAAGAAGGCACTGGAAATGAAGGGAGAGAGACACAAAGATGAAGGGGTATGAGCTCATTTTGAGCCAATAACACATTATCTAGTTGGGCTTAATGTGAAATTATGCCGTAACACAAGAGAAGGTTATTAGACTGAAAATAGAACTTAAAGGCAAATTACAGAGGATGTTGAGTATCTGTTGAGTAAATTAGCCCCAAACCAACTGGTCTGAGAATCTTTTTCCCTAATGGCCAGGTGTCACTTATATGCACATGGACCATTGAGAAGTAAAGATATGTGTTCTGTCTACTCTACCTTTACAGGATTTCTTACCTGGTCTCCATAGCCTCAAAGAGTCTACAGGTAGAATTCACCACGTTCATGAATTTGGTCAGGCAAAAATTTTATGAAACATACCAAAAGTGTAGAATGCAGCATATCAATGCAGAATTATCATATCATTAGAAGGAAACTGATGGCAATAAATCCTTAAACTTGAAATGAAGAAAGTCTTAAATCAATAATTAAACCTTCAACCTTAAAAAAATAAGCTATGCTCCAAACTTAATAAGCTAGAGAAAGAGTGAACAAGTTAATCGCAAAGCAGACAGATGGAAGGAAATAACATGCATAAGAACAGATATTGATAAAATCTAAAATAGAAAAACCACTGACAAAATAAATGAAACCGAAAGTTGAACCACCTAGCCATACTGACCATGATTAAAAGGGGGGTGAGGCAAATCAC